AGTGGGTTACGTCGGCCGTGTTCTCCCCCTCGAGAATTATACATGTGTGACGTGAGTGCCCCATGCGAAGAACCTGTTTGTGAGCACAGAGGGCCGCGATGATCTGGGCGTGGGCCTTGGAGTCTCGGACCATTTTTTGCACCCAAGCGAATCGACGAGAGGCCTGTGCGCACCTAGTAGGATGACCTTCCACTTTCGTCGAAGAACGGCATGTGGCAAACTCGTGGGGTGGGCTCCCGTCCAATCGGTGGCCTGCCCTCTCTCGAGAGTGCGCAAATACTTGGCGATAATGCTATCCATCTGGTCGGTCATCTTTGCAGTGAAAACGTAGGGCTCGTTCGCTGACAGACCCGCTTCGATAACATGTCCTTGAAATGCTAAAATCTTAAGCTTGTTTGAAATCCTGCTACTCCACAGCCTCCCCATTTTTGCCCACCCCGTCTTCATCGCCGAGCATCTATATTGGAGTTCTTCCATTGTTGCGAGATTCCAAGCGTATCGGCCTCCGAGATAGCGAGCTCTAGCTAGTACCTTCCCCTCCGTGGTGAGTTCCCCGAATCGTTTGTTTTCGTGTCGGACATGAAAGCTAGGAACGATCTCCCTTTTCCCCTTATTTTGTAGTAGTCCTACTTCTTGAAGGGCGGTATCTAGATGAGCATCGCTTTGATTCGTTAGGAGATGGGCCTCTCCAGCCTCTCCCGTCGGTGCTGGTAGCTCATCAAAGATATCATCGGCGAACGCTGCGGCTCCTCCGTCGAGCTCCCTCGCGAAGATGCCACACTTCAAAGGAAGAATGAGGTGGGGAGGACGTCGTCTCCTCCACTCCTCGAAAGGCTGCTGCGTGATCTTCGCGAAGATCACGGGCTCTTCACTCGATCCCATCAATCCTCCACACCCGTGTCGTACTACCAAGTTTTGTGGTTCCTTCCATGGCCCCTCCCCTCCTTCGGCGAAACTCAAGAAGATGGCCGCGCGAGCGGCCCGATGTAGAAAAAAAAGGCGCATCCTGCTCGCGAACAAGCTCCTGCACTGCCTGCTGCCTTGCCTGCGGGGTCGTGGAGGCGAACGCATTCGACATGTCATGGAGGTTATTGAGATGGCTGGTCTTCCTGCGGCGGAGGCGAGCTCCCACGCTGAGCTGAACTGCGAGGGCGTCCTCACGCCGTCGCCCGGGTAAAAAGCCATGAAATTCGGCCGGCCAGTTCGGGGTCCGCGACCTCAAGCCCCGTCTCAGCAGGGTACCGTAAAAGCCCTTCCAGTACGGACAGAAAACATGAATGAGTCGTTTGCCTCCAGGCCCCTGCTTTCCATTTGATTTATTCAGTGGGTAGCCCCAGGAAAGATGTCCGAGCTTCGGGGTGCGCTTGAGGGCCCGAGACCACCAATGTATAGCTCCGAGATGTTCACTAGCCAGAGAGGGGGGTAGTTCACCTACACGTTCAGCGCCTAGTCCGAGTCTCGGCTCATCCCCTTTTGAAACATAGCTGGCGTCCGCTGCCATCAGGAAGATCTCCGAGGGTAGACTCCATGGAGGTGCCGCTCGGCGTTTAGGACGTTTCTTGAGGAACTTAAGTGTCTGTTGCATATCCCGTTCGGCCCAGTACCAGTAGCTATCATATTCCTCGAAGGTGAGGTCGTCTAAGGAGGTGGGGGAGGGCTCGAGCTCCGCAGCGAAGTCAATCGGCATTGCGCTCATGCCGCCGTCCTGCGGGCTTCCCTCCAGGAAGCGAAGCCACTCGTCCTTGGCGGACGTAGGCTGGGGAACTCCGTATCTGCGCTTACGAGGGCCTCCACAGCGCTCAGCAAGCAAGAAGAAAAGGCGATGCACTTCAGCAAATCGTCGGAGTCGGGCGGCTTCGTGAATTTCATTTTCGATCCTTCTCCTTCGGTCGGCTCGCTCTTGTCGCATCAATCGTCGGAGTTCAAGTCGAATCTCTCGAAGTTCGGTATATTCGGGAAAGTCGATCGAGTTAGATCTCAGTACTTCGGCATACTCGTCTCCCTGTTCTCGAAGTCGCTCGCGAGCCTCAGCTCGTAGCCGTGCCAGCTCATCACGACGGGCTCGCATTCGACTAACCTGCGGAGGAACCTCTTTAGGCTTAGCCTGAAAAAAGGATTGTGCCACTTCTCGAACGAGCGTGGTCCAGCGCTGCCAGTAGGCATCCAGATCTCCGCTGCTATTGTGGCGGTCTAGCTCCTGGCAGTCCCGAAACTTACTCTCCAAGGCCTCCTGGAACTCGAGTCGGTTAGTAGCTTCTTGTAGTGCTAAAGCGATTTTGTCCCTATCCCATCGCATATGTGTTGTCTCCGAGGGGGCCCTATGTTGGTAGGCCGTGAACTCCAGGATGATCGGGACATGATCCCGAAGGCGGGCGTCGGGTATGAGCTGCAGCCGCCTGGCCGCTTTCCAGGGTATAACGCATCTCCGAATCTGTTCCTGAATGCCGAGGGGGAGCAGGATGTGATCGACCGTGCTAGTGGCCCCGTCGAGGCCGTAGAAGGTGGGGCCCGCCTGTGGGTAGTAGGAGCCTACGTCCATGAAGTCCTGAGGCGCTATCAATTCATCCCAGAGAACGTCCCCGATGAGGTTCTGGTTGCTCAGATGGTACTCGCCTACATTCGGGACCTGCTCAGTTCGCCCAAGACTCAGAGTGCCCAGAGAGATCGGAAGCCCGTTGCGGTACCCGAAGCCTGTGTTGAAGTCCCCGAGCACAATAGGAGTGGAGCGTGTCGGGGTATTTTTTGTGCGTGCAATCATCCATCGAGCCAATTCCTTCGAGCCCTTCTCCAGAGCTTTCCGTCTGCTGGCATTCTCATCTTTGATCGGCGGGAGGTAGGCCAAGATGATAGTGAGGTCTATGGAACCCTTGACCAGGCGAACAGCAAGGCCGCGTCCCTGAGCACTCTTCGGTGGTGTATGAATCTCACGTACATGCTTGCGCTGGAATTTTCTGCCAATCATCAACATGCATCCAGCCGATCTGTTACTGAAAGGGGCACATGTCCATCCAGCTGAGATCGAAAAACCTCGGTCCACTGCCGCTTCCTGAACTGGTCGATCCACTGGGGCTCGGAGGCGTGTGCCTGGTAGCGCTGCAATATCCACATTTAATTCTTTCCAAACCTGCTGAATTCTGCCAACTTCCACAAGCGAGAGAGGGTTGTAAAGCGCCAATCTCATGAAAGCAGAAACCATGGGCCCCAAGAGGGCGAGCGCGGCCCCTGGCTCCTCGCCCCGAGGAAGCTCTGGGAGGCCCAGAAAATCACGTAGAGTGTAAAGTCATAGTACAGAGTGTGTATGCCGCGTAGGGTGAGGGTGATTCCTGAAGCGGCTGAAGAGGGAGCAGGGAGGGGGGGCGGAGGGAGCAGGGAAGGGGGGGGAGGCCGAAGAGGGGAGGGGGAGGGCGAGGAGGGGGGGGCGCGACCCAGGGCGGGGACGAGGGGGGGTGGGGGGGGCGAGGGCGAGGCAGCAGGAGGAGCCAAGGAAGGGACCGGCAGGAGGAGCAGCCCTCGCAAGGCGGCCCGTTGACCCCGCAAGGCCCCGCTGGGCTCGGCAGGCGGCCCAAGAGCTGGGCGCTCATCGTCCACGTCCTCGCCCTCGTCGTCTGCGTCTTCGTCGAGGTTATTCGCCCCCTCCTCCTCCTCCTCCTCCTCCTCCTCCTCCTCCTCCTCCTCCTCCTCACCACCACCACCACCATCACCTTCATTGCACCACTCCCTCTTCGTGTTCGTCCACCTCCTCCTCCTCCTCCTCTTCCTTTTTCTCCTTGCCCTCGCTCTTGTCCCTCCCCTCCTCGTCATGACCCTACTCCTCTACTGTTCCTCCTCCTCCTCCTTCCCGACCCCGTTGTCCTCGTCGTCTGAACCGTCGTCGTCACCGCTGTCAGCCTCATCGTCCTTGGCGCCATCGCCACCTCGTCCTACTCTCCCTCGCGATCCTGCACCCACCGTGCAGCCACGGGGGCCGCCGACGGAGGCGCGAAGGAACCCTCCTGCCCCCGGCGAGCCCCGGCAGCGACCGAGGCCCCCCCGACCGGGAGCGAAGGGGCGTCCATGCCGTGCCCGCCGGGCTGCCTCGCACGCGCAGACAAAATTCGCCGGCCCCCCTCCCCGGGGTGGACGGTGGCAGTGGGCAGCTAGGAAGGGGCCCCAGGGCACACACAGAAATGCACACAAATAATAAGCACATTCCCTACATTTTCCCATATGTTCTGGGCTCTTGCCTCCCCCCCCACTTCCCATATTTTCCCATATTTTCCGGGGGATCGACGATTGATTGTGTCTGTGTGCTTTTTCCCCTCCTGAAACTACCGGGCGGGGGGGCGTGGAAGCATGGATCGCGTGTTGCTAGAAGTGCCCCTGGCCCGAGGTGCCCCCAGCTTTTTCTTCCGTTTTGGGGCCTCGGAGGCCCTCTGGGCCTCGTGAGGGGTGCCCTGGAAGCCGTTTGGGCCACCCCGAGAATCCTGGGGGTACCTTGGGCCAGGGGTACTTCTAGCAACACCCGAATGGAATCACGTGCCTCGGGCCGGACGAGAGGGGGAGGATTAGGAAGGAGGGGGGTTACGAAATCTGCTGCATGCAGCCGGTTTCGGCCCCATCGAGGGGCCCATTCCTCGATACATCGCCACCTCCGGCGCTGGGAGGCGCCGGGAGAATCAGCTACGTGAGCTGATTCTCAAACCCCCCCATATGCTATCTCCCCCTTTCGCCCGGCCCGAGTTCCGCCGTGGCGCAGGGAAGAGGTACCTTTGGGCGACTCTGGGGCCAAGGCCCCATTGCGTTGCTCTCCTGTGACCGTCCACCCGATCATGTGGCACTGGGCGGCGAGACACTGCTGGCTAGAAGCGCTGCGCTGCGGGATTGTCATTGTGAGAATGAAGGGCCAAGGCCTAATCTGAATACTAAAACAAAGTGTCCGCAGAAGAGAGGTGGTCAGAGCGCTCGCCTGCACCAAACACAAGGCTGGGCTGCAGGTGAGAGACACAAATGTTCACAAGTGCCTACCGCTTCTTGCCACCCCCCACCTTGCTCAGGTACGCTTTCAGATCCTTTATGCCCTTCTCTGAGTTTGCCATTGCCTTTTTGTCCTTGATAGGGTTGCCTGCAACGTTGAACAACTTGAGCTTCTTCAGCTCAACCAGGCCGGTAGGAATGACAGTGATCTTGTTCTCGCTGAGCTCTATGTGCTCCAAGCTCGACACTTCACCTACTGCCTCTGGAAGCACAGAAATCTCGTTGCCGACGGCCGAGAGGGTCACCAGCTGCTTCTGTTGCCCCCAAGAGATACCTTCCAACGACGTCAGCTTGTTTGCGTCTACCTTCAGGGCGGACAGCCGCGTCAAAGGCGTCAGCTGCTCTATCGAGGTGAGCTGGTTGAAGGAAATATCTAACATCTCGAGGGACCCCGCGATGCTGTCCCACGTGTCTACATCGAGCAACGAAGATATCTTGTTGTGCGACAGGTTGATCGACCGTATGCGCTGCAGCTCTCGCAGGCCCTGCGGCATGGCGGAGAGAGCGTTGCCCTGCAGGGACAGCTCCAGCAGGCTCTCGGCCATGGTGCTGGGGAAGAAGAGCTGGAATGCCTCCTGCTCGAGCACGCCGGGCGGAAGCCTGAGCTCCACCTTGGTGAGGAAGAAACACCTAAGCAGCGTGGAATCGAACGTGCTGTACTCTGGGTCCTTAGGAGGAGGAGGAGGAGGAGGTGAAGGAGGAGGAGGAGGAGGAGGAGGAGGCGACGTACCCGAAAGGACGAGGAGGAGGAGGAGGAGGAGGAGGAGGAGGAGAAGGAGAAGGAGAGGAGGGGGGGGAGGGGGGGGGGGCAGGAGGAGGAGAAGGAGGAGGAGGAAGAGGAGGAGGAGGAAGAGGAGGAGTGTACTCCGGGTCCTTGGGGCGGTCGACCGCTATCGCCTTCTTGATGCGGCTCCTGTCCACGCCGCACTCCCCGCTCTCCAACACCTCCTTCACCTCTGGCCAGCTCGCAGAGGCCGGCTGCGGCCACGCGTGCTCGCCAGCGGCCAGCTTGGTGCCACCCTCCGCCGCCGCGTTCCTCTGGCGGCCTGTCCTCCGAGAAGGGGATCGACTGTAGGATTGATTTGCCCCAGGAATTGTTTTTCCCCCACATGCCGAGTGGGTTCTTGTTGTCCTAGAACACCCTCTCCTTCTTCTCCTTCTCCTTCTCCTTCTCCCGCCTCCCTACCATGCCATACCACACCGCCTGCCATACCGTACCACATCTACAATACCAAAGCTACCATACAAAACCAAAACTACCATACCATACCTACCACTCCAGGGAAGCCACGCCGGAGCGAGGACAGCATTGGGATACCATACCATTTACAAGGTTTCGTGCCCCACCACTTCGAACACCATACTATTTATTGGGTTTCGTGCCCCTACCACTCCTCTAGGGAGGCCCCGCCTGAGCGAGAAGGGTATTCGAAAACTATGTTATTTATCAGGTTTCATGCTCCTCCCACTCCTCCAGGGAGGCGGGGCCCCGCCTCAGCGAGGAGGGGTATTCGAAAACCATGCGATGTATCAGGTCTCGTGCCCCTCCCACTCCTCCAGGGAGGCCCCGCCTCAGCGAGGAGGGTATTCGAAAGCCATGCTATTTATTAGGTTTCGTGACTGTCCCACTCCTCCAAAGACCCCGCCTGAGCGAAGAGGGTATTCGAAAAACATGATCGACCCACGAACCCGGAAGGGAATATAGAAATGTAAGGCATGGCAACGTTTCAAAGACACTTGATTGGGCGACGGGCAAATGCAATGTTGAATGTATCGATCTTGATGTACCGTGCCGAGGGCTACGCTGTGCTGGCCGTGCTGAACTGCGATGTGCCATGCCGCGAGTATGCTCTATATATAGCGTTGTGGATCGAGTCCTCCCTGGCATCCGAGTCCGGACCGAACTGATCTGGATCTTAAGCTCGAGCTGCCTGAGCAGATGGTAGCTGCCCCAGAACTAATCGACAGGGGGACATGCCAGGAGGACGCGCCGCGGAACGTCTCAAGGGACGCGCCAGGCGACGTGCCAGGGGACGTGCACCGCGCGACGTGCCAAGGGGATTCGCCACGGGACGCTCCGCGGAACGTGCCAGGCAACATGCCAGTCTGCAATGCTAAGGGTAATATTGATCTACCGAGCCGAAGGCTGTGCTGTGCCTGGGCGACCTGGAAACGTGAAAACACGCGTTTCGCTCAAGACGTTCTCAGCACATCCTCATGCTAGACATCCGCCTGGGCAACCTGGACACGTGCAAACAAGCGTCTCGATCGGGACTTCCTCGACTCATCCTCATGCTAGACATCCGCCTGGGCGACCTGGACACGTGAAAACAAGCCTCTGGTTCGAGACATCCTCAACAAGTCCTCATGCTAGACATCTGTCTGGGCAACCTGGAGGCGTGAAACCAAGCGTCTCGCTTGAGACATCCTCAAGAACTGGGCACGTGAAAACAAGCATTTCACTTGAGAGATCCTCTGAATTCAGGTCCCCAGGAGAAGACAATCTATAACACAAAACAAGCGTTTCGCTCGAGACATCCTCAACAAATTCTGGACAACAAGCGTTTCGCTAGGGACATCCTCAACTTTTAATTCGCCGGCCCACCTCGACCTCGATATTCATCGCAAAAGAAATTCGCCGGCTCACCTCAAACCAAACCCGGGGGTAAACCATCTAGAAAAGGAACCCTGGGCTTAAGCCCTTTCCGGGAACATGTTATTTATCAAATTGCGCGCCCCTTCCACCCGTCCAGGGAGACCTCGCCTGAGCGAGGAGGGTACTCGAAAACCATGTTACTTATCCGGTTTCGTGCCCCTCCCACCCCTCCAGGGAGGCCCCGCCTGAGCGAAAAGGGTATTCGAAAACTATGTTATTAGTCAAGTGTCGTGCCCCTAGCACTCCTCCAGGGAGGCCCCGCCTGAGCGAGAAGGGTATTCGAAAACCATGTCATTTATCAGGTTGCGCGCCGCTTCCACCCCTCCAGGGAGGCCCCGCCTGAGCGAAGAGGGTGCTCGAAAACCATGTTACATATCCGGTTTCGTGCCCCTCCGACCCCTCCAGGGAGGCCCCGCCTGAGCGAGGAGGGTATTCGAAAACTATGTTATTAGTCAAGTGTCGTGCCCCTCCCACTCCTCCAGGGAGGCCCCGCCTCAGCGAGGAGGGGTATTCGAAAACCATGCTATGTATCAGGTCTCGTGCCCCTTCCACCCCTCCAGGGAGGCCCCGCCTCAGCGAGGAGGTATTCGAAAACCATGCTGGTTATCAAGTTTCGTGTCCCTCCGACCCCTCCAGGGAGGCCCTGCCTGAGCGAGGAGGGTATTCGAAAACCATTTTTCATGAGGTTTCGTGCCCATCCCACCCCTTCAGGGAGGCCCCGCCTGAGCGAGGAGGGTGTTCGAAAACCATGTTACATATCCGGTTTCGTGCCCCTAGCACTCCTCCAGGGAGGCCTCGCCTGAGCGAAGAGGGTATTCGAAAGCCATGCTACTTATCCAGTGTCGTGACCCTTCCCACTCCTCCAGGGAGGCCCCGCCTCAGCGAGGAGGGTGTTCGAAAACCATGTTATTTATCAGGTTTCGTGCCCCTCCCACCCCTCCAGGGAGGCCCCGCCTGAGCGAGGAGGGTATTCGAAAGCCCTGTTAGGTATCCGGTGTCGTGCCCCTTCCCACTCCTCCAGGGAGGCCCCGCCTCAGCGAGGAGAGCATTCGAAACCCATACCGCCTCCAGGTGCCCCTCCCCGCCCTTCCAGGGAGGCCCCGACAGAGCGAGGAGGCTAACCCCCCCACCCTCCTTGCCTGACTTGCTCTCCCGCCTTCCCCTCCATCGCCTTTTCACATTTACCCCTTGCTCCTCCCTCACCCCTTCCATTGTTCCCTTGTCCTTTCTCTTCCACTTCCTGCCTCTCCCCTCAACGTCCTCCCTCTCCGATTGCTCGTCCTTCTTCCTTCCTCATGTTCCTCCTCACCATCTTCCTCTTCTCCCTCTTCAATTTCCCTCACTCTGCTCTTTCTCCTCCGCCTATTCCCTCCTCCCCCCCATTCTTCTACGTTGCCTCCTCCTCCTTCTGCTCCCCGTCTGGCTCTGCCGCAAATTTTGATAGGTTTCGAACTCTCCTGATAGCTGATGTGAATCAAATTTCCCAAGCGAGGCGATGGCTGGGCGACGGCGATGGCCGTCGCCCGGCCACAATGGCCGTCGCCCTGCCATCGCCATCATCCCCTCCACCCCGCACCTCCCCCTCTTCCTCTTCCTCAGGACTCGCCATCTCCTTGCTTCTGTGCGATGCCCCTATCATCGGCGCTGCCGATTGCAACCGCAAATGCACCGCACCCGCGGGGGCCGAGTAGCTTGAGAACAGAGACGACGGTCGCTAGGAGGACGGGGCAATTTCGCAAGAGTCTTGCATGCCGTTCGATAGCGTCGCTCTCGTTGTCCCCCTCTATCCATCTTCCTACACCTTGTGGGTGTCCAGGCGTGTGAGATTCAGGGACCCAAAACCGGGATTTTGACGCCCCCCCCCCCCCGGCCCGGCCCGGCCCTCCAGACCGAACTCACCCGGGGGCGGTCTGGGCTCCCTGGGCTCGCTCTTGAGCTGCACGACAGCACTCGACGCCTCCCAAGAAGCCGCCAAGACGGTCCACGAGAACCCAAAGTCGCCGAAAGATCGTTCCGGGACGCCCAAGATGAGCTCAAAACTGCCCAGTAGGCCGCCAAGACACCCCACGAGGCCTCCAAGAGGCCTCCTAAGAAGCCCCCGAGAAACCAAAATCTTGAAATTCCCTTTGGATACAGTCGGGGCGCTGAAGAAGGAACCCTGTTCGTTGGGGAGGGGCTCGGTGTGTCTTGATTATTTTACAGTTTGCCTTGGGTTTTCCTTAGGTTTTCAATGGTAAATCGAAGTTTAACTTGTGGAAAAAAGGGGCCTCGTTCCTTATTTAGGGTTCCTTAGGTCAACGCCCCGACTGTAACGTGCATTTTCAGCAGATCCATCTTGTTGGCCTTCACGGCGTTGCAAAAGCCGTCCACGAGGCCACGAGCCACGCAGGACCACACCCCAAGACGGCCCACGAGGCTCCTGTAGGAGGCTCCGAAAGACAACCCCAAAGAACTCCAGCGCGGCCCAAGAGGCGCTCCAGACGGCCCAAGAGAGCTCCAAGACGGCCCCAAGAAGGGCCAAGAGGGGGACCACGAACCGCGAAGTCCAGCGCTCCGCCCAACGAAGCTCTCCGGAGGACCCAAGAGGCCCCCAAGCGGCCCCAAGAGACCCCCATGAGGCACCCAAGAGGCCCCAAGGAGCGGCCAAGAGGCCCAAGAGAAGCCCCCAAACGGCCCCCAAGAGAGGGCTCCGCGGATGTGGCATAAGCCTTATGTAATCAGCAAAACGATAACTTTTCGCAGATGTGCGGAGATTCGGCGTACTTGTCTGCATACTCGACGAACAGATCAATCCTGGGGTAAGCCACTCGTGCAGTCGATCCCCTGCTCGAGTCCTGAGAGCACTGCTGACGGGGGCGGCCTTCTGCTTCTCCTCGACCGGCCCAGGCTCCGCCTCCTCCTCCTCCTCTTCCTCGTCGTCTGGCGGCTGGGCGTGCCTCAGCCCGTCGGAGCCGCAGGAAGGGCACGTGGTCGGGTCCTCGAGCAGGTCTTGAGGCTCGCCGGAGGCGCCGCAGGACGGGCAGGTCCAAGCAGCCTGGCGGACCTGACCCAGGATGCCCGGACACCCAGACAACTAGACACCCGCACACCTGGACACCCAGACAGCTGGACACTCAGACACCCGGACTCCCTGACCTGGGTGCCCAGGCACCCCGACTACCAGACTTGACGGCAACGGGTGACCTTGGCCGCCGCGGTGGCCGCCGCGGCCTTGACCTTAGCCACCGCTGCGGGCTTGCTTGTCGCGGCCTTGGCGCGCTCGCGCCGCTCGGCGATGAGAGCCTCAGCTCTGGCACGGATGCCAGCCAGCTCCTCTATGAGTCCCGGCTCGTCGTCGAGCTTCTTTACCTGGGGGGCACCGAAATGGCCCCCCCGCGGACTGAGTGCTTCCGACACCGTCTGTCACGTTCCCAGCGACGTCCGTCTCCCTGGACTGCCACTGTCAGGAGCACATACAGTCGGGGCTGATTGGAGAGGACATGCGAGAGGACACAAGACCCTCCCGAGGGCCACACCGCAATACATCGCCGTGACGAAAAATTCTTTCAATTTGCCTTTTGGAATGACGCACTCGTGCGGAGCAGTTCGGAGTAGTTTTACTAAAACTACTCCGCGCGCAATCGCATCCGGCTCGATAATTGATATGGTTTGGCGCGGAGTAGTTTCCGATCCCGTTTTGGGGTAACAGAGGTATTAACGTCTCCGGGGTCGGAAACTACTCCGCCGAATGACCCCAGCATCATGTGAGGTTAGGAATCTTGAGAGGGATGGGAGAGATCTTCATCACAGCAAGTTGAAGAAACTTGTGTCACGGCTGTGTAGGAACTAGGTCGTGAAGTACAGGACACGAGGGTACCCTTGATTTTGGCAGGGTCGACCTACTAATCAGCCTCGACCGTACACTGGTCGTCTGGAAAATCCCACCATCTCTTTAGGCGAACATAGCTTGACGGGCCACTTCTTCCAGTGCCATGATTCCCCAGCCCCGGACTGCCCCTCGGGCGCGTAGAGCGTCCAGCACGTCAACCGCTGGCTCCATCATAACCGCACATAGCCCACATGTGATCTTCAAGATGGCACAATAGGGTGATCTGCAATATGGTACGATGTAACATGACCCAAATTGGAACAAGATGGCCTCTAGCATGATGCACATACGTCAGGACACGTCCCAAAGACAATTCCAAGTCAAGGATGCCCCCAGACGGCAAACAGCCTTCAACACCTGAGGTGTATCAGGGATGGTTTTCCTTCTCGCCTTTAAATTTCCACTGGGCTACTGATGCGGCAACATGGCACCCAGATCGCCTCGGAGAGCCCAAATGTCGGCCCAAAGAAGAGCGCCAAGAGGGCCCCAAAGGCCCCAAAGCGTGCCCATACCGGCCTGAGAGCGCCCCAGGAGACGACTTGTCTGGCTCCGAAAGGGGAAGAAGGGGGGGGCAACTAACTACTTCTGAAAATCGTGCGTTTGTTGCATGGGCGTCCACCAATATGACGCCAGAGAGGTTCCTCCAGAGGGTCCCCCAACAAGGCCCCAAGATAGCTCCAAAGGCTTCCCAAACGGCTCCAAGATCCCCCCCCCCCAGTATGGCCCCAACAAGCGTCCAAGAGGCTCCCAGACCAAATGGCCTGCGAAGCCGTTACGGTCGACTCCTGAGTCTTCTCACGCTGATCCCGAGCCTCGATTTGACGGCTGCCGAACCATATTGTTCCACTGCATGCCACACACTTCCCTGGTCAAGGCATCTCCCTTGGCAGTCGTAGGCTGGCAGGGGTACGAGCAGCGTCAATCATGCTGGCATCTCGTCCTACCTACCGTCGCTGGGATTGTCATCTGCCCTCGTTTTCTGCCGCTACAAAGCAAGACCAGTGGAGGCACTACCAAAGACTGTTTAAACCCGTTTGCGCTCGCGGGTGTTGGGCGCGAGAGCGCTGATTACCGTGAGGTCGGGCATGTCCTCCTACAGGCGGATTTTGGAGGAAAAACAAGAAACAAGACAAACAAACATATCCAGACATAATAGAGAAACAAATGGCTGAAAAATCGCCACCAGCCTACTTTCAGCCTTTTTTGGAATGCTCCTCCTGTGGAGGGACGTGCCCGACTCGAGATTGCCGGTGATGGGCACCCGCGCGCACCAGGGCGCGGGACGGCGCTCCCCTTGCCCGCCGCCCCCTCTCGGCCACAGGCCGGGCATCTTCGGACCCGGGTCAATCCAGACCCGGGCCAGCAGGAAACCGAAGGAGGAGGAGGAGGAGGAGGAGGAGGAGGAGGAGGAGGAGGAGGAGGAGGAGGAGGAGGAGGAGGGGGGGAGGAGGAGGAGGAGGAGGTGCAGGGGGAAATGGGGGAGGAAGGGACGTCCGCGACCAGCGACAAAGGTTTGCCCCAGGGCGAGGGGCGTGCAAAATACCCCGCCTCCCACAAACACGGGTTCGGGGATCTTCCTGACCCGGGTCAATCCAGCCCCGGGCCAGCAGGAAACCCCTAAACTGCGACGCAGGAAACAACGACTGCAGCGCAGGTCTTCGCAGACCCGGACCAACCAAGATGTGCGGCCGCCTCGCGGCCACGAGCGGCTGGCCAACCCGGGTCAGCCATGAGGGGGTCTTCGCAGGAACCTGCAGGATCCTGTGCCCTGGCTGACCCCCGTTTGCATTGACCCCCGTCTCTCAAGACTCCCGCACAGGAGGAGGAGAAGGAGGAGGAGGAGGAGGAGGAGGAGGAGGAGGAGGAGGAGGGAGAGGGGGGGGGGAGGAGGAGGAGGAGGAGGAGGAGGAGGAGGAGGAGGAGGAGGAGGAGGAGGGGAGGAGGAGGAGGAGGAGGAGGAGGAGGAGGAGGAGGAGGAGGAGGAGGAGGGGAGGGGGAGGAGGGGGGAGGAGGAGGAGGAGGAGGAGGAGGAGGGGGAGGAGGGGGGAGGAGGAGGAGAAGGAGGAGGAGCCGCGCGCGGACATCCTGCCCCTCGCCTCGGGGCAGCGCGCGCCCTGCAAGCGACGGCGCGGCTGCCCCGCAGATGGCCCTGCAAGGCAGCTTGGTGCCCTGCCATACGGTAGAAGGAAACAACTCGTGGACACCCCCCCTGCCCCCCAAACTCCAAGTTGGCACGCGCGGGGGAGACTGCGGCCGAGGTGCGACTCATCAGACCCACCGCCAACTATGAACATTGGGGGGAGGGGGAGGCCTTCACAAATGAATGTGGCATGAATGTTCGCTATTTTTCCCGAGGCCAGTACTTAGGCCGGGCTGCCCTCCTACAGGCGGATTTTGGGAGAAAGCTGCAAAAATAGTCGAACGAGATTCAAGAATCGCCAAGTAGTTCAGGAATCGCCCCCACTATTCTTTAACGAATTTCTGAATTTTCGCCCTGATAGAGAGACATGCCCGACTTAATGCCATACCCTGCAGTCGCCCTGCACCCCGCCTTCTTTGATCGATGGCCCCCCATGTGGCTCCAACATCGCACCCACGATCTCCAAAATGGCCCCAGCAGAGCTCCAACCGGGCTCCAAGAGAAGCCCAAAGCCATCCGACATGGCCACAAAACGGGCCCCAAGAAGGCCCCATGATGGCTCCAAGATGCCTCCAAGACGCCCCCAGTGTGTGTGACCGCGTGCTGCTAAACACCCTTGGTCAGTGCTGTTCGCCCGGTGATTGTTCTGGGATGGGCCGGTGGGGGTATTTTTTTTTGGTCGTGGCCGCAAGCGAGGGCGCAGGCGGCGTCTGAAGTCGTCCCGGGCTACGAGCGAAACCGAATTAACCCGCGAGCGCACTCACAGCTGGAGGCCGGAGGGGGTACTTTTTGGTCAACAGGCTCGCGAGGCGGGTCGAAAGCCGTCCAAACACTAGTCGAACCGCGACAAGGCAGCAGGAAAAGAAAGGCAAGCGAAGCGAGCGAGCGGGCAGCCACTCAAAGGAGAGCCAGAACCGATACTCCCAAACCCGGTGGCGTTGAAGTCCCGGTGGCGACCAGCAAGTAAGCGCAGCCAAAATGGCGCGGCGGCGCGACCATAAACAACCGGTGGGGGTACTTTTTTTGTCGCAGCCGCAAGCGAGGGCGCCAGCGGCGAGTCAAAACCTGGTGGGGTACTTTTTAGTCAGCGACCGCAGGCCACAGCGCCAGCGGCGAATCGAGTCACAGCGGGCCGCGCAAAGACGAATTAACCGAAAGCCGATGGGCCGGAGCCTCACGCGGCACCTCGGCGGGCAGGCCGGCGAGTGGAGGGGTGCTGGCTGCGGCTGCCAGGGTAGCTGCACTGCCAGGGGTTGCACGCATGCAACGAGCTGCAGAGGGGCCGACTGCCAGGGTGGGCCGACTGCCAGGGTCTGCAAGCTGCTGAATTGGATGCAAAGGGTGAGCACCCGAGGGACTGCGAATTACCAGGGTGGCCAGAGCCAGGGGCCGAAGCCTCCACGAGGCGAATTGTGTGCAAGTGAATTGGCCAGCCGAAGCTGAAGCGCAGCCAAAATGGCGCATGGGAACACCGCGGTGCGACCAGGGTGAAGCACCTCAGAGAAGGCCCAAGATGCCTGCCAAGGTCTGGCGGGTGCAGGTGGTGGCGCCAGTAAAATCGCACACACAAACCCCAAACCCGGTGGGGGCACTTTTTCGGTCGCGGACGCGAGCGAAGAGGCAGGCGGCGGGCAGGGTGTCCAGGCCAACGGGCAAGCCTAATTAGCTACAAGAGCCGGTGGGGGTACGCGAAGCGTCAAGAATTCGCACGGTCACGCTGGAATGTGGCAGCGTGGAGCACCATATATTTCAATCAGACCAGAGGAAAAACCCTATCAGTGGATGGTTTTCGCTGAAGAGATCGACCGGGAACCCGGGAGCCCGGGAACCCAGAACCCACCGCGGCATCGGCCCGGAACCAATAACCCGGGAACCTGGGAACCCAGGAGAAACCAGCCTGCTACCAAGATCGGCGGGGAACCTTCGCCAAGTCTTTCCACTTCCGCTATAGGACCCCTTCCGTGCAAGCACTGGTTGGGGAATGGGCATCGTCGCGGCACCACGGCGACACAAGGATGCTGCAAACATAGGGGAACAATAAGTGACATAAACATAAAAACTCGGAGGTCCGCGCGGATTTCTCGGATCGGCGCTGGGGCCCCCCGGCGGCGCCTCACGGCGTTCACGCCCAACATGATGATATAGCATGTGGAGCATGGACACGTTTTCACGATACCCAACTGGGCAACACCTCACGAAACATCCCACGAGACACTTCACGAAACATCCCACGAGACACCTCACGAAACATTCCACGAGACACCTCACGAAACATTCCACGAGACACCCCGCGAAACATTCCACGAGACACCCCACGAAACATTCCACGACGACAGGCAA